ATGAGACATTTCCTCAGGGCTCGGAGCCTCCTCTGGGCTCAGAGCGATCCAAAAGATACTGGAGGGACAAACCCCATCGAGGTGGCCTTGGTGGAGCAGGGGAAGGCAGGAGTCAGTGTCCTGTACTGGAAAGGCTTGGCTGAGCCCTGCAGCAAGCTCCTCCTTCACTGTCCGGACTGGGTGGTTTGAATTCGGTTCTAGGAAACCCCTGGGAAAAATAAAAGTGCAGATTACGGACACCACTAAACAGATTTCCCTGGAATAGCCTTCCTGTGGCCATAATTTGAGTGCAGCAATTCACCCAAAACATTCTTAAGCCAGTTTTTAGTAACTACCTGAACAAGCCAAGCCTCTCACCAAACGTGTTGCATGTTTTCAGGACACTGGTGTTTGTCTCCAGGTTGCAAGCAAGAATTAATTGAATTTGCTAATAAAAAAGGAATGAGGCTTTCCAATCATCATATCCATTTATCTGACACCTGGTCACTCCCACTGAGAGCCAAACAGAAACTAATTATAAAACTCACCTGTTAATTTTATCCACAAGGACTTGTGGCACTTGAAAAGAAACCTTTTGGCTTTCCAGTTGTATCCTGAAGCTCCTGGGTGTGAAACACGGGAGTGGAGTGCTCCGTGTGAAAATGTGGTTCAGGGCACCCTCTACACGGAAGGATTTATCTTGGCTCCTGACAACACACAAAACCACAGCAAAGTCATCAATAATTTCTGATATTTCATGTGCCACAAGAAAGCCTTGCACAGGTAATCCATGTGACACCAACACACGTCTTAGTGAATCCCAGGCCTCGTTACAGCCCTGCTGGGATTGCCTGCTGAGCAGATACACACACCACAGTCCTCCTGACGATTTTGACCTTTAAAATCCTAAGACAGTCTTATTTTTAGAGGGTACTTTGGCAAGAAGCTTGCATTTGAATCTTGGCTATTCTGCTTAGAGATGAAAAAGAACTGCAGCTATTTTAAGGAAATTTAAAAGGAGTTCCTCTCCAGCAAGCAAGATACTAAAAGAACACACCAATGCTGGCCTTTATAAGAGCACAAATATCAGAATTTCTGTTTTGCCATGTGATGGTTACCTGTAACCTGTACATTTATATCCATGGATTGTCTCTGCATTAAAAGGATGAACATCACTCAAGATAAATCCAGCTCCAGCTGCCACAGCCACTATTTGCCAGCTGTTGTGCCACTCCCTCCTCGGCTGGTCTGCGGGTGTCCCACCCTGGCCATTGCAAAGAGCCACGTGGACCTCTCCCTCCTCTGCCAGCACTTCTGCGGAGCTGGAAGGAAAGCCACCAACAAGAAGAACCCTGTTAGCACACCCACAAATTTCACAGGGCCAGAAAAGCACCCAGAGCACAGCCACAAACGTGTATCACAGCAGGCAACCAGCACAGAACTATTTCTGGGTTACTCACCTACGGAAAAAGTGGGCAAGAAGCTCCCTGTTCTTCACTACCCCAGCCTTCCTCCCACAGTGGGGGAAGTTGAAGTAAATACAATCGAATTGTCTTTCTTCTGGTGAAAAGTAGTCCTTCAGCTTGGTGCAGTCCACAGAAAACACAACCTCAGCTCCTGCAACAGAAAAGGAAAAAAAAACAAACAAGGGTGTGATGTTTATCACTAGGGAAAATTTCAGGGAAAGGTAGGAATGCAAGTCCTCTAATTGGTTTTAAAGTAGGTGAGAGCTGCCAGGCATCTCCCCACTCGTGCATTAGGAACACCAGGAAGCCTGGGCTCCACTTAACCGCTTGTGGAAACTCCTGAAAATACTTGAAAATAGTGGTTTCAGTGCAATTTCAGCACTATTTAAGCCTGATCAGATTTTAGGGTGTTTGATTTGGCCAAACGGACCGTTCCAATCCCTCACACGAGACGCCTGGAGTGGCGAGGGGATGCCAAGGGTCTGGAGACAGGGCACGGCAGCGCCATGGCTCTGGATGGAGCCCTGATCAGAGGACGGTGACAGCAAAGGGCTCAGCGACACCGCTTCCTCCTGCACCGCTGTGCCCGGGGGTCCCACCACCCATCGCATCCCATCGCATCCCATCCCATCGCATCCCATCCCACCGCATCCCATCCCACCGCATCCCACCCGCGCACCCACCGCTCTCCCGCAGCCTCCGGATGCTCCGCGCGGCTCCCCCGCGCCGGGACGCCTCCTCCTCGCTCTCGTAGCAAGTGGCCACCACGTGCGTGCCCTCGGCCCCGCAGAGAGAGGCGGCGAAGGAGAAATTGCCCTCCCCGAGCAGCAGGACGCGGCGGAGCCCCATGCCCGGGCACCGGCTCGGAGCCCCCGGCGCTCGGAGCCCCCGGGACTGGGAGCCCGCGGTTCCCGGAGCCGAAGTCGCTCGCTCATGACGTGGGGCCGGTCAGCGGCCACTGCTGGTGGCGTCGGGGCATCCCCGGTGCCTTTTGAGCAGCCGGTTCCCCGCCCCGGGGGGATCCAGGGAGCTGCCGGTGCTCCCCGGGATGGAGGGATGGATGGAGGGATGGATGGAGGGATGGATGAGCCGCCGCATCCCCCCCGCCGCCTCCCCAGCGCTTGGAAGGGGGTGCGCTTTGGGAGAGCTTCCTGAGCCGCTGCGCAACAGGAAATGGGCGTTAAATAAATAAATAAGTGCGTAAATAAATAAATAAAGCCGTTACAAAGCTAAGGAATCGTAGGATCACAGAATCCTGGGGTGGTTTGGGTCGTCTTGTTCCATGGGCAGGGACATTTTGCATGGGAAAGGGACACTCTTCATGGGCAGGGACTCATCTCGTTCCATGGGCAGGGACACTTTCCACTGCCCCGGATGGCTCCAATCTGTCCTTGGATACTTCCAGGGCTGGGGCAGCCACAGCTTCTCTGAGCAACCTGTGCCAGGGCCTCACCACCCTCACAGGGAAAAATTTCCCCCCAGTATCCCACCAAACCCTGCCCTGTGAGTGACAGGATGCTGGGGATGCACTGGGTCCCTGTGGCCTTGGGTAAATCACTTTCTCTGTTTCAAAGGATAAGTGACCCAGAGAGATGTTTAGTGCTGAGACATGAAGCACAACACCTCAGAAAAAATAATTACCACACCACCTCCCCCCTCCAGGAAAGGAAAAAAACCCCAAACTCATATTTAGCCGTGCTAAATGCGAGTTTTCCTTTCCAACATCCTCACTGCTTTGAAGCACTTGCACTCCAGATTACAAGGGAAACATCAGAGAATGAAATGTTTGTGCTCAGAGCTGAACCAGCCTGTTGGATGTGTGGTGCAGCTGAAGGGGAGCTCCTGGATGACATTTGTGCTTTGAGGTGACAGAGATGTTTTCTGGCATTTTCTCCCTGCTGAGCTGTGCTGCTGTGCCACCACAGAACAGGTATTTCAGGTCATTCAGGGAGTGGTATCTGCATTTCAAGTATTCTTGTCTAGCTGACCTCATCATCCCCAAAGAGCTTTCACTCAAAATGCCCATTTCTTGCTCCTGCGTTTGGGCCCAACAGAACCCTGGACTATAAAAACCATTTCCCTCAGGGGAAATGCACTTTCTGGATATATTCTCACTATTTCCCACTTACTTCCTCAATTTTATTTTTTTTTTAATTTTTATTCTTTTAGAATTGGAACAAGAATTTCATTGGTTTCTGGGCCCCTACCCTGAGTTAGAACCTCCTTTGTGCAACCCAGCTGCTCAGTCCTGCTTCACTACAGGCCACCACATGGAAGCATTTTTTTTTTTTTTTTGTTTGCCTGTGTCCAACACTCAGAGAAGGAACAAGAAGGATGCAGGAAAAGACTCAGAAACCAGGAGGCCTGTCTGCCCACAGTGCTACAGGGATTTCCTTCGAGCAAAAAGACCCGTCACACATGAAAGCCAAATGTAGCATCGTGTGGAAAACATTCTTCTTGCTGTTTAATGTGGATTGTTTGTGACCTGAGTGAGTGCAGAGGTGACTGTGAGTCACCACTCAACCTGTGCCTGGTCAGACAAGCCCAATTAACACCTTAACTGGGAGGGCTTTTTGGAACCAGCTAATGGGAAACACCAGACCTTGAAATGAGGGGGGATTTGAGGTATTTGACAGTGACCCCTCATCACTGAGTGCTCATTTTGTTTTTCTCCCCTAAAGACACAGAATGAAGGGTAACCTCTCAGTTCAGCTGAGGTGTAAACAGATCCCTTCTCACAGAACTTCTGCCTTAGCAGGTATAAGGAACACAAAAAATAGGTCAGGTCATGACTGAGTCTGATGCTCTGTGTGACAGATCTGTTCTGTCCTTTTTGAAGATGAATTTTAGAATTCAATTCCAGTAATACAGACTTCCCTTTACGCTCATATCCCTTTGAAGAGAGGTGCTAAGCAGATGATGGTGCCTCAAAAGGACTTAGTAGTGGTTTGTATCACTCAGCAATGACGGCATAAATCAGGTTATTGCTGTAGACATCAGATGCTGTTCATTGTTTGAAGGGCACTAACATCACAGTTTCAAAGGGATGTGATTTGCATCGTGAGAGCAGGATGTTTTCCTCCTCTTGGGAGATATCTGTGTTTAACTGCAGCTCTGCAGTTTTCATCTGCAACTGCTCTGAACTGGCTGCAGCACTTGGATGCTTCTCCACAACGTGAGTCATTCTAGAGATTTAAGATACAGTTGTCTTCCAGTCAGTTGTTATCGAATACCCACACTCCAGATGGGTTTCAATTGTCATGAAGCTGTTTTACCAGTTTGATCTCCACTGCAGAAACTTTTCTGTGGCTTGTGAAACACTCTGAAATCCTCTGGCACCGCTGAAGGAAAAGACTCGTGCATTAGATGTTTGCAAAACATTAGAGAACGTAATGTGGAGTGGGATGGGTGCTTCTGGACACCAAGACAAGCTGTCCTGGCCACACTTGCCACCCAAGCTGTAAGGAAGGGTGGTACCAGCTACGTTCACCTTACACAGCTCCCTGGCCCCACCACTCCGCTTGTCCTCAGCGCCCAAAGCAAATAAATACAAACTGCTTATTCATGGTTTATTCGTTAGTAAACTTACTCGGCATAAATAATAAGAGCAGCCCCTCAGCACCTGGTGCCAGGTGCCGCGGACTGGCCCCGGGGGGGCTGTGTGTGGGCACAGCCCTATTTCCTCTGGGCGCCTGCGATGGCCGGTTTCTCCTCGCGGGTGATGGGGATGGAGCGCTCGGGGACGTCGCTCACCTTCCTGGGCGCGCTGACGGTCAGCACCCCGTCCAGGGACAGGGACGAGGTGATGGTCAGGGGGTCCACGTCGTCGGGGATCCTGTATTTCCTGTTGAACTCCCTGGCGATGAAGCCGTGCTCGTCCTTCAGAAGGAGAAGGGACAGGCACAGTGAGGGATTATTATTACTATTATTATTGTTGTTATTATGTTGTTATTGTTATTATATTATTATTTTGATATTATTTCGATTTATTTTTATATATAGATATTTTATTTTTATTATTATTATTTTGAGTATTATTGTTATTTTTTTATTATGTTCTTAGCACAAAAAAGTTGCAGAAGCTCTGTCAGGATTACATGCCATTATTATTATTACTATTATTACTATTATTACTATTACTATTACTATTATTACTATCACTATTCTTCTTCTTCTTCTTCTTCTTCTTCTTCTTCTTCTTCTTCTTCTTCTTATTATTATTATTATTATTATTATTATTATTATTATTATTATTATTATTATTATATTGGTATGGCAATTGCAGCTACTTTAGCATGAGTGTTCCCTTCCTTCCAGCAAGTAAGCGGGGACTGGAGGTAGGAGGGATATGGGGGCTGGAAAATGCTGTTTCATCCACCTTTGAACATGGCTTTGGATTTCTCTCTGCCCAGTTGGCACCCAGGTCTCCAGGGCCAGCAAGAAGTGGGATTATGAGAGCAGAGCACAACCTTTAAGGGTTAGAAACTCCTAGGTAAACTTCCTAGGGCCTAGGAAAGGTTACACAACAGGGCAGTGCACTGGTTCCTTTTGTGGTTTGATTATTACAGCTTGTTGTCAGTGTATTGAACACCTCCCTGCATTTCTGGCCTCTGCCCAAAAAGAGGGAGGCCCAAAAATGCCCATTTCAAAGACGATTTTCCAGCTCGGTTCACAGTTCATGTAACATCAGCAATAAATGTTCACCCTCTTGCTGCCCTGTCTGGGATCAGCTGGGGGGGTTTGCACAGAGCATCTTCCATTGGGGTTGGCTGATAAAACAAAAAATGGCAAGTATCTGAGGTGAGCACAGGGGAGGAGTGTTTTGCAGCCTCCTTGTTTCACCGCTGGGAGTGGCACAGTTAAATCAGAGGTACCTGGCGCTCCTCGTGCTTCCCGTGGATCTCTATCATGTCCCCGAGCACCTTCACTTTGAGCTCCTCGGGGGAGAAATGCTTCACATCGAGATTTACATAAAACTTGTCCTTGTCCAGTCGCATCTGCAAAACAAGGAGGTGACTTCAGGAAAGGGCAGGCGAGGGTTTCTGCTTCGAAAGGCTCTCAGAACACAGCAGGTCAGCACTCAGCTGGTGTCCACACACGCACTGACCTTTGGTTTGGGGTTCTCATCTGAGTGGCTTTGTCCCTGGCTGGCCTTGCATTAATGCCCATCCCTGCGGTACCTGAGATTCTCAATTTGTTAAAATCTGCTAAAACTGCCCCTTGAGTTGGTGTAGTGCTGATTATGGCTGCTTCAGTGCACAGCCAGATCCAGGGATCCTGCTAAATCAGGGCAAACATTATGCAAAGATTAATACTTTCCCTCCTTCTGCTCAGAATAGCTCTACAAGCTACTTGTAAATAAGAGATTGACTCGTAGAACAGGCAAGTGCCTCTTGGCTCAGCCCCTGAAGCAAGCAGACTCCTGCTCCTTGATCCTTTGGGTCCCGTATCTTACTGAAAATGCTGCTCTTCTCGGCAGTGATTCTTTAAAATAGGCCCCTTTTTCCTCAGCAGCCTGACATGAGCATCCCACTGCCCCTGCCCCTGTGCTGTTTGCTTCTCAGGTGGGAGTGGGATTGGAAGTTTGGCATAGCAGACTGGGAAATTAGGGAAATCAGGCTTCCTCCTGTCTTCTGTCAGCTCTTAGAGCCACCTCAGTTTGCCTCTCTTCCCATCACTATGGCAATACTTGCTCTCAACCCCAAACGATGAGCAGAGCATGCAGAGCTTCTTGCCTAACGAAGAGCCACAAGCACAGCACCCTTCTCCCCAGCCTTCTCCTAAATAACCACCTCCAAGCAGCTTCCAAGCTCTCAGCTCTCCTGGGTGTCCAGCTCCAGAGCCAGCAGGATGTGCACACAGCGGTAACAAAGAGCATGAAGAAGCAAAGATTACCTCAGAGAGTCCTGTCTCTAGCCAACTGGGCATCCGAAGGATGGGGGATCTCATCAGGAAGGGGCTGAAGCTGGGGGAAACAGGGAGCAGCTCTGACTCCTGCAGGTGCTCCCCGAAAATCTGGTCAAAGATACGACTCGGTGCCAACCAAGAAAAGAAGGGTCTGCGGATCAGGGGGTTATGAATGGTGATATCCATTGGAGAGCGCTGGAGGAGCCTGGCAAACAACTGTGCTGCAGTGCCGTGCTGGGAGCCTGGGACAGCTTTATACCCGTGCAGCTGGCCTGGCCTTCCACCCCCCCGAGGCCTCTTGAACAGTGGTGTCAGGGATTTTATTGTCCCACTCCTGGGCCGGTCCCCTCGGCGGTGCCCAGTAGCTGTCTGAGGGATTTGAACGCGCTGCTGAGGAGGAGGGGGAAGGGGAGAAGAAGAAAAGGAGCCCAATGGGGCAGCAAGAAGCCAAAGTGCCCGGCCCGCCCCGCTCCCCACGTGCTGTTTATCTGCAGAGTCCCAGGCGGGCTTGGCGGATGTTCCCAGCTGCTTGGGATGCCAACGGGATCAATGCAGCTCCTATCTTTGGCTCCCAGGGAACGCGACAAGGGGCCGTTGTTCCCGCTGCCAGCGCCCAGAGTTCAGCTCCCCACATCACCCACCAGCCCCGGGGAGGGCTCTGCCCCTGCCCACAGCGCAGGGAGTCACAGAGCCGGGGGGCAGGGAAGATCCCAGCAGGTCTTTGCTGGGATCCCCCTGGCACTGCAGCCCAGGAAAGCCCCACAGCTGCCTTTGTGCCCAGTGGTGTGTGGGAATGGAAGGTGGATTTCTCCACCGTTCAGCCCAACATCTCTGCTCTTCAGCCCAGCACAGAAACCACTGGAGAGCCCAACACTGTGACCTCAGAGCCCCAGAGGGCCAGAACAGAGAAAACCTGGGCATGCTCACGGTGCCTTCTCAGGGATTCGAGCCACCTCTGTCTGCCTGTGCCCCTGCACTAAGCTCATTTTCTATAGTTGTGCTCCTAATACATCTTAACTCACACATTTATTTTAATTCCTGCCTCGCCTGTGAGCCTCAATCACAGGAATGGGTTCAGCCTGGCAACTGTACTTAAAGGGCAAGAACTAGTCTCTGCCTCTGAGAGCTCGTAACTTAAACGCAATTTCTGGCTCAGGGGCACATCATCCTTACTGCCAGCACTGCCACCCCTTTGCAAAAGGCTCTGAGCCTCTTCCTCTCAGCTTGCCTGCAAGAATAGGGAGCAGAATTTGCTCTGTGCAGCAGCTCGGGCCATAAATACCCTCTCCAGTTCCCCATTACATCAACAGCACTGCACCTGCTGCCTCACACTGCAGGGACACGGGCTCAGGGAAATCTCTGGTTTCAGGGTACGTGGAGCTCAACTGGGCTCTGCTCCCCTCCTGCACCACCAGCAGCCCCCAGCCCTGTCCAATGGGACTGGGTCTGTGCCAGCTTCACCCCTTGGTTAACTCTTGCTCCCTGGCACAGGGATGTCTCCGGGTCTCAATATGCCAAAGCCCTGGCCAAGGGAACAGCCCGGACAGCCAGCTTGGAGCAGACAGTCCAGGGTGGGGAGGTGTCAGTAGTGGGGTCTGGATCCTGTCTAGTCCAGCTTAACTACCTGCAGCACTTCATCACTCAAAGGAGCTCAGCCTCTGCAAAAATCAGGCTCCGTGTGCAGGGCATGGGAGGGGCTGATCTGGGCCATGGGTGTGACAGGGACTTCACTGCACAGCCAGCCAGCATTAGCTACTGCCCTGTCCCCATGAGGGGCTTCAGGGCCATCAGTACCATCAGTACCATCCATACCAGTGCCAGGGACCCCCTGGACCTGCTGACTGGCCTTGGAGCACCACCAGCAGCACAGCCTGGGCTCTGTCCTGCTTTTCCCCACTTCAGCCTCCCTCAGCTCATCCCTGTGCCTCCCAGCTGCCCATTCCCCTCCTGCAGCCCCTGCTCCAGAAGGGGTTCTCCGGGGCTGGGAGGACGTGTGGGATGTTCCCAAGGTGTCCGTGACTGCAGGCAGTGCCTGCACTCCCTGCTGGAATGCAGCGAGAAGCTTCTCCCGTCACCCTGGCGAGGCATCCTGGGCCCTGTGCGCGGGGCTATTTTGGTCCATCTTTTTATCACACACTCCTCCCTTTGGAATTCACCCAATTAAAACCTTGCAATCTGCAGCCTTCACTCTCAGAGGCAGCGAGGGCTCGGCAGGTCCCCGTCCCCAGCCCCGCCATGGCCGCACGGACCGTCCCCCACGCCCACCCCATGAGCTCCGAGTACGAGTTCGCCAACCCCAGCAAGATCTACGACCAGAACTTTGGAGAAGGTAAGGAAGGAGGTGGGATCCCCCTGGCACCTCTCTCTGCCCTGCTGCAGGAAGGCTGTGGTGGAGCTCCCCTGGGCAGATTGGCCTCCGGAGCAGGCTAAGGGAGCTGGAGCCAAGGAATTCAGGGGGTAAGAAGGCAGATCAAACCAGGGGGATAGCCAGGGGCTCTCTCTTCATGTCCACTTCCTCCATCCATGCCTACTGCTGTCTGTGCTGTCCCTCCCTCATGCCACCCATGCTCTGGCATTCATGCACATGCTGTGAAAACATGGAGCGAAACGCTCAGGGGAGGGGGGGAAGTTTTTTCAGCCAGGGGATGTGGAGAAAAGCTGAGCTGGGGTGTTCAGCACAAAGCTGGGCAGTGGCTGGCGGAGGGGAAGGAATGTGGGCAGCAGCAGAACCATTCAGCTCCAGCACAACAGCGTGAAAAGGCAAAAAGCTCCAAGGAAAGCCCCCCGGACAATGGCACACAAAAGGCCTTTAGTTCTTCAGGGCAGTTTCTTCACCATCAGCATTTTCCATGCCCATCCCTGGCTGTGGGCTCTGCACTGCAGAGCACTCACTGCACCTCCCAGTCCCTCCCAGTCCACCCAACAGACATGTGAAGCTGGATGCCAGCCCTGGGCTCGCTGGCAGCCCTGGGCTGTGTGGTGGGAGGCAGTGGCTGGCAGGCTCTGTGTGTGTGTTTTAGAGACACAAAGGTAGGAACTGCAAGAGGCTCCACCCATATTGTGCTGATGTGGTGGCAAACCCAAGGTGTGTGCCAGGTGCCAGCCTCCTCCTGCCACCCTCCCCTGTCTGCTGCCAAGCATCCTCCTCCAGCTCCTCCCCTGGGAACCCCACACTCCTCACCGAGTCTCCTTTCCAGGTGTGTCCCCGTCTGAGATTTTAGCCCCTGCCCTGTACCACGGCTACTACATCAGGCCTCGGATCAACAAGCAGCTGGACCGGGGCACCTCCGAGATCTGCCTGAACGAGCACAAATTCCAGGTGTTCCTGGACGTCTGCCAGTTCCTGCCGGACGAGCTCAGCGTCCGCACCGTGGACAACCTGCTGGAGGTGGTGGGCCAGCACCCCCAGAAGGCTGATCGCCACGGCTTCATCTCCAGGGAGTTCACCAGGACCTACATCCTCCCTCTGGACGTCGACCCCTTGCTGGTGAGGGCCACCCTGTCCCACGATGGCATCCTGAGCATCGTGGCTCCCCGCACCGGCAAGGAGCTGAAGGCCAAAGTCAACGAGGTGAAGATAACACAGGAGGAGCAGCCAGTGGGGAAAGAAGAGCAGCCCGAGGAAGGAAAAGAGAAGGAGAAGTCCTAAAGGCCCCAGGTGTGGGCTTGCACTGGGAAGGTGGGGGGGACAGGGATGGGGAATCCACGGTGACAGACTCGTGTTTCTCACCATCAGTGTTTAGCAGGGCTCTGAGGCAGCCAGACTGCTGCTTCCCAAGGCTGATGGCTGGAAAAAAGGGACTTGGAGCTGAAAACAGAGGGGGACTGAAATGCTAGTGTGAGGGAGTGAGTGTAATGCGAGTTTCCTCCTAGCTCAAGTGCTCATGGAGCACCAGGCAGGGTGCTCTTCTCTCACCCCAAAAGACCAGGGCCACTCTTACCCCAAACTGTGAGGCTGTGCCACAGTGGACTGTGAAACAGCTGCTGTGCTCTAGCCCAGGAGGGAAGAGATGATCCCAGTGCCTTGCCTCTGAGCTGGTGGCTGAGCTTTGTGGACACGGGAGGTGCTTGTTGGTCTGTAAAAGTTCCTGCAGTTCTCAGGAGGGAGGAGGAATAAACCTGCCTCTGGTCTTCTCTTGCTTGCCTTGGGTTCCTGTTGCTTCTGGCCTGCAGCAGGAAGGATGGACAGTGCCTCAGCTGTGGAAATGGCATCAGTGGTGACACGGAGGGACTGTGGGGCACCCAGGGGCACCTCTGTGATTCACCTCCTGGCTCAGGGGCAGCTGCAGGGTCTGTTGTAGGGAGCCCTCAGTGGAGCAGCCTCAAGGACAGAAGGTGCAGAGTGATGAGCTCCTGGAGGGTCCCTGTGCATCCCCAGAGCTGCAGGTGGGATTAGCCCAGGTAAACTAATGCCATGGTCTCTGTTTGTCTTAGTCCTCTGGTTCATGGGGCACCGGGCTCGTTCACACACCGACCTTCTCAGCCCTTGGGAGGGGAGTGAACCCCGAAATGCTGCAGGGAAAGGCTCTGCTCAGATTCCCCAGCACCCTCTGTGCAGTCCCAGAGGGGGTGGCTTTGGCCCCTTTGCAGGCTCTGTGGTGTCACTGACTGGCTGCATGAGAAATGTCCCCGTGGCCTCGTGATGCTGGGCCAGGATCGTGTGAGCTGCTGTCGGGGCAGCTGCTGCCCCGGGCGGCCCCAAGGGCTCAGCAGGTGCCAGCTGCAGCCCTTGTCTCGTCAGAGCCAAGTAAAGCAGGCAAAATGCTGTGTCAGTGCCTAAATATGGGGGTCCCTGGCGTGCCTCAGGGCAGCTCTCCCTCAGACACCCACGGGGATATGAATTCTCCCTCTCCCCGCTGGGATGTGCCCTGCAGGACTCTGCCCTCTGCCTCCATGGGTACCTGGGGCCAGCAATGCCCTGCTCAGGGTTCTGTCCCAGGCAGCACATCCCCTCTGCTGCTGGAACTACACAACTATTTTCTGCTCCTCAGGGCCCCTGGCAGCAGGGAGGATCAGAGGCAGATTAAGAGCAGCCCTGTCTGCTGGCTCAGGACCCAGTGGGAGGGTGGCTGAGCCTCCAGCCCTGGTGCAGATCAGGTACCACACTCAGTCTGGACCCCTGGGGGATGCCCTTACTCGGGAATTGGAAGCAGACAAGCTGCTGCCAGTGAGACACTGTCAAAATAGAAATATAACAGGCATTGTCTAAGTCCTTAATAATAACTCCAGAGATAATTCTGGGCTGGTGACTTTCAGTCACCTGAAGCAGCTGCATCCCAGTCACCCAACACCCACCCAAACCCCCAGTCCAAGGAGGGCTGAGTTCCTGAGCCCAAATCCCTGTGGGGAGGGCAGGGACCTGTGTCTGTGTGTGGGCTCAGGCAGGGCCATCATTTCCTTAGTCCCCCGTCATAAAACGTGTCTTCAAACTCACAGACACTCCAGGGCAGCAGCTACAAAAGGCTTTTCTTTGCCTCTGACCTGGCATCTCCTGTGCTGGTAAGAAAGGCTGATGGTCCCCTCTCTCACTGCACATTTCCTGTCACTGGGATAAACTTCCTTCCCGGGAGTGGGGAGAGGGAGGATGGCCAACATGTGACCCTCAGGTTGGGCAAAGGAGGGCACATCCACACCCAGTGCAGAGCTGGCACGTGCCAGAGCATGAGATGCTGCCTGGGCAGCACGAGGGCTGCAGGTTGCTGGAGCACTGGGGGCTGAGAACAGGAGCTGGCCAGGGCTGGGGCTGCACTGGGAGTGCCCTTGGGCACTACTGCCATAGAAATGCCCAGCATTAGCAGTCACCACACAGTTCTGTTCCCCCCTCCAGCTTTTCCTCGCCCTGTCCTTGCTCTGCCATGAGTTCATTCTCCACTGCTGGGCCCCCGCAGGCTCGCCCTGTGCCAGTCTGACAGGCTGTCACCCAGACAGCTGCCCTGGGCAGGGCTGCAGAGAGAGGGGCTGGCACTGCCTGGTGTCAGCCAGGGCTGTTCCTCTGCCCCCTGGCAGGCTCTGCTCCACACAGCCTGCTGGCTCTGCCCAGCAGGATTGCTGGAAGCCATGCTTTCTTTCATCCCTGCAGACACAGCCTGAGGAGGGAATGCAGAGTGGCAGCCAAGCACTCCCCGGCCCTGCCAATGTTTTTGATGCCTTTCTGTTTCTCTGGTGGAGCTCAAAGCAGCAGCTCCAGTATTTGTGAAAGAGGCTGATGGGAACAGGCTCCCAGCCCTTTTTTTTTCTTCCTTCCCCACAAAGCAACAAAGCCCAAGTTATCCCAGAAATCAAAACAGCCACTGGTTCACTAAAACAACAGTGTCTGTGGCAAAGCCAGAGACACACAGTCTGCAACTTCCCAGGCAGGGACAGGCTCCTGAGACCACCTGGTCTTTGCAGGACCCTGAGAACACGGTCCTGTTGGCATCAGGACTGAATCCCAGCTGCCTGCACAAGTCCTAACTTCTCCCTGGGGTGCTGTGGTGCAGACTGGGATGTGCCATCTCTCCAGGCACCTGATGAGGAGCATTGTCAGAGCAAGGCTTGGGCTCTGCAGGTCACAGCACAGCTCACCCAGGACTCAGCCCAGAGAGCAGCTCTGCCCTGTGGCCCTTCCAAAGAATGATCCTTCTCCTCCTGCCACTCCTGGACAGGCACAGGGTTTGCTCTGCACTTGGGCAGGTGATAAATGATGCTGTGAGCCTGGCTGAGAGCATGGGCACACCTGGAGGAGGGGACTGGGGCCAGTTCCTGGCACAGCCCACCAGAAGGGTGAATTAAAACTCACCCCCTTGTCAGGACACCCCATGAGGGACTCAGAGCTGCACAGAACTGGGTCTGTGCCAAATGACAGCTGTGGGGCACAGGTTCTGCTCAAGAATGACATTCACATGGTATCTTTTGGAATTGAGCATCACTTCTCCTAGTGCTGCCTGAGATTGGGTACCAGGATTAGCCCAGGAATGACCAGCCAGAGTCTGAAGGGCTCTCAAAGGAGTAGAGGGATAAAATACACGTTCATGTTCCTGTTTGCCATGCTGAGGGTGAGCCTGAGAGCTGTACTGCAGGCCCTTAATGACGTGAGGTGCCTCATGGGATCCTGTCCTGCTCAAAAGCACAACACTGCACACTTTCACCCAGGGAGCTGTAAGAAGAGTGGATTTCCACCAGTGTCCCTGAGGTTGCAGGTCAGGAAATGAGAGCAGACCTGCCAGCCCCCTCTTGCTGGGCCTTCCCAAGCAGATTCCCTCTTTCCCAGGTGATGCCAGCCCGTGCCACGCATTTTTCTGACATCCTGCTGGCGTTGCAGGGATGAGCAGCAGGAACAGCGCTGAGGGCTCCCACTCTGGGGCTTCTCCTTTTGTTCGGGAACATTTGAAGTCCCTCCTCCGTCCCCTTTTGCATCACTGCTGGCATCAGCGGGATGGCGCCGGGGGCAGAGAGGGACAGCGGCGGGACGGCCACTGCGAGAACCAGAAAACAGAGTTTTAGCCCCGGGGGTGAAGCCCTGGGGGCACGCGCGACCTTGCCCCCTCCTCCCCGGGTGAGCAGGGGGCGATCCGGGCCCCGGGGCCACCCCCGGTAGATGCCACACGGGGCCAGCACAGCCCCGTGCAGCCCATGGAGAGAAACCCGACACTGCCAGACACTCCCTTGGAATAGCCAGGGGCCGAGCAGGAACCAGGAAATACAAGCTCTCCCTGTCCAGAGAACGCTCCAGCTCCATGGGGGAAGGAGCGACATGGGCAACCTGTGCAGCTGCGGGCGCCCGGGGTGAGTGCGGCGGGCAGGGGCGCGGAGGGCACGGGAGGCTCCGGCCCTTCGGGAGGACTTTGGGAGCTTTGCGTCCTTGTGCTGGGCTTGCCAGGGCTCCCCCCTGGCTCCCAGCCCCGCTCCCGGTCGGCTCACCCCGGCACGGGAGGAGGGAGCGGGGGGTCACGGCTGGGGGGGTGGAGAGGGAGCGCAGGGGCAGGAGGGGAGGGGGGACGGGGGGCTTTGCTGTCACGTCTCTCAGCCCCGACGGGCTGTGCCACCTCCCCGCAGTGCCAGCCTGGGCTCCTGCAGCAGCTCTGGGAAGGAGCTGCTTCAAACCTCTGTCCTCGCCCCTCCGGGCAGGGAGACACCCCAAGGTGTCCCTTTGTCGCACTGCTGGGAGGGGTCCTGGGGTTCAGCCACCCCCTCCTGCTCTCAGCTATTCCAGCCCCTCTCCCTGCCTGCGGCTGTCCGGGCTTTAGTTACGCTCTGGAAATCCTGGCCACGTTCTGGAGATGCTGTCGCTGTTTCTCCCTGGGAGGGACGGAGGGAGGGTGACACTTTAATCCCTCCTGGGTCGCGCCGTGCCCTGGACCTCCCGCTTGCAGAGAAAGGGCACAGTGCAGCATCACTGGGTGCCAAGTGGAAATATTTTCGGCTCTGAGCGTGGAACCAGGGGAAGAGCCGTGAATATCAGAGTGAAGCTCCGAGGACGTTCTCTCCAACATCGCGTTTGTTAAAAGTATGAGAAATTCATCGGCAGTTTTTAATAATTCCAAGCGGCACAGCATCACCTAGTGGAGGAAGGTTCAGGACGCCGAGGTCCTGCCAACCTGAGCCCTGAGCTGGAGGGCAGAGGAGTTTGGGATTTAGGAATAGGAGGTGGGGGGTGGAAGGCTGAGTCTTGATGTGTCGCCCACCAAAACTCCCATTTTATTTCCTCTACCCTGTGTTGGAGGGTTAATGAGGTACCCAGGGCAATCAGTGAACAAAGGGCCTGACCAGGGGGTGCCTGGGGCACAGTCTGAGGTGTTTAAAGAAAAGCTATTACAGCAAATTTATTCACGGAAGAGAGTTATTGATGAATATGCCCTCGAGCCTGGGTGCCTTTGCAGTCATGACCACAGGCAGGGCAGGCCCCAGGTTGTTCTCACCACTCAGGGCACTAAAGTGTGCACGGACAGGAAAATATGCCCAAAATCAGGATTATGTAGGACCAAAACCAGGATGGCACTGACATGGGAAAAGGGGAAGAAGCAGTGCAGGAGCAGGGACATGTGTGCTGTCATGGAGAATACGATGTGCTCCTCTCAGCCTGGGAGTTACAACATGTTTGACGGTTGTGAGAAGAGGGGAGAGGTTTCCCTGCTCTCATTTCCCTTGCCACACATGTCCCAATTACTGGGAGATGCCTTCTCCTGCCTGGCTGTGCTTATCCTGCAGACAGCCCAGAATAGCTCCAGCCCACACGCTGCCTGTAATGCTCCCTCCACAAGGGGAGGGAGGCAACCAAACCAGCAGCTGATCCAGCAGCCTCCCTGGCAGCCGAGGGGAGAGGGGACCTGCTGATTCTGCCTCAAATGGGGCTGCTTTGATTGCAACCCGCAACGTGCCCGAGGGAAAGGGCTCTGGCACACAAGCCTTGCCAAGGAGGGCCCTGGAGACCCTGCACACAGTGGAGGAGGAAGCTGCGAGAGCCAAGGGAGAACCACTACAGATTGAACAAGTTGAGTTGGAAGGGAGCCACAAGGACCATCGAGTCCAGCTCTTAAGGGAATGGCCCATACAGGGGTCAAACCCACAACCCGGGTGTAATTAGCACCTTGCTCCAACCAGCTGAGCTGATCTCAGGGTCAAAGCAGTTCTGCCTTGATCTAGCCCTCCAGACTTCGCCTGTCAGGGGCTGGAGGGCTCTCAGTGCCCCCGTGGGCAGCTCAGAGCAGGGACACGTGGAGCGGCGCCGGATCCCTGCGTGTGGCCACCCTGCCTTCCCCAGGGCTGCCCCTGCCTTCCCCAGCAGGGCTGGTTAATCATTACTGACCATTTTGAATGTCTCCAGGTTCTTTGCCTGCGCTCAGGCTGGGTTTTTGTTTTCCCACTGGAGTGCCAAAGGCATTACTGCACACGCTGTCCTGCTCCCCCGCCCGCCGGGCGCCGGCAGGGGCACAGCTCTGCCTCGGGCACTGCACCCTGGCACGACCAACTGGCAAATGCACACCATGTGGGACGTCTAATATTCCTTGGAGACCAAATGGTGACCCTGCAGCCCCATCCAGCAGAGGCCTGCGAGCCCCTCGGCTGCACTGTTGGTCCGTGGCCAGCACCACAGGGACGTGTGTGCACAGGAGGAGCCATACAAGGGCTGGCACCTGCTCCCTGACCCCCCCAAACGTCCTGCACTGGTGACATTTCCTTCATGCATCTGTCCCACAATGTGACAGCACTCTCCCCTGCCAGCCCCAGCCTGCAGGAGCTCAGCTCTGGGCTCTGTTGTTACAGCTGGAATGGATTTGGCTCCTGTTCATCCCAGGGCTGGAACATATCTGTGTTTGGCTTGTCTCCTCCTGGTCACACAGGTACAGCTGAGATGAGGGTTTGGCTTGGCTAATAATAAGTGCACAGCTTGTTTGGTTTGGTTGTGCTCTAAGTGGAAAGCTGAGAACAGGAAAAACTGTCTGAACCACTGAATGAGCACAAGCTCTGTGCAGGCTGCTCCTTGGGCACGGGGGCCAAAGCACAGGGAATGGGGGTGTCAGAGCCTCTGACCCCCCGAGCAGGGTTTGTGCTCTTTGAGATCATGTTCTTCTCTGAGACACTTCTTGGGCCTGTCTCACCCCACACAGCCCTGGTACCCGGGGGGGGGTTTGGGTCTGTGTGTTGGGAGAGCAGGGGCTGGGGATCGTCAGGGCTCACGTGTCTCTCTCTGATTTCAGGAAGTGTCCTTCCCCTTTCAAAAGAAAGAAGGAAAAGCAAGGTAAGAACGTGTGAAAATGCTTTAGAGGTGGGTGGCTGAGCCCCTGGTTGGGTGACATCAGTCAGTGCTGGCTGCGGGGGGATCCCTGAGCTCCCCTCCCACACTTTTTGTGCTTAACCTTCCTCAGGAGGAGCTCGGTAGAAGCAAAAGGCAACATTTCTTTGAATCTTAAAGCAAAGGGTGTGGTGTGCCATGGGGGAGGGAAGGGACTTCAGCAGCATCTTTAGAATAACAAAGTCTCACATCAAAACACAGGCAAGTGCTCTCAGTTGGCAGCACCAAACTCCTGTAAGAGCTGCAAACATCTGCCTGACAACAGTCCCCCAGAATAAAGTGCATTCCTTAAGTAGCTCAGTTGTGTCCTGTGGCCTTTGGGCCATGCTGGGCAAAATATGTTTGTCAGGCAGCAAAGGAAATAACAAAGTTAAAACTGGATCTGACTTCTCCAAGGGCCTGACAAGGAAGCTCTCTGTGCTGTGTCTGTACTCCTGGGTTCTGCCAAGAACACTGTGGTCCACAGCATGTTGTCATCCTGGGAAACCTTATTTTTCCCAAAGAAACAAGGCCAGGCTTTCTTCTCAGGGACAGCATCAGGGCTGAGGGTGGCAGATGAGGAGGAGGTTTGATTTGTGCCCAGTGGGGAGAGCCCTTGGGCCGGGCACTGCATTGCTGCACCCAGAGGTGGAACAACAAACAGCTGTTAACCTGGTTTGCTGGTGTTTCCCTTGCAGGAACTAATGTGAGGCATGAGAGTGGACAGCAGCAGCCTGGCAGGCAGGTAACCAGCTTCCCAGAGCTTCTTCCCTGACTGTGCAGTGAGAAGACAGAGCTGGCCCCCACCCCCTGGGCTGGGTGGGCTGGGAGGACACGGGGCAGCTTGTCCAGAGCCATGAACCCTCTCACCCTGTGTAGGCATTCCCAGCTGTGGGAAGAGTGTGCAGGACACTGTTTTTCCCCCCTGGAGTGCAGTGGAAGCAGCAGGATGAAACCCCTGAGGTGTCAGAGGGCTGGGTGGGGCTGGGGGGGCAGGGGCAGCAGCAGCCCAGGGAGCTGAGCTTCCAGAGCTTTCCCTCCCCAAAGGTTCCGACGTACGAAGATGTCCCTGATGTCCCTGTCTACGCCACGGTGAGCAAAGCCCAGGGGGTGCAGCAGGATGAGAGCATCCACTATGCAGACATCCAGGTGTTCTCCAAGGCCCGGGAGCGCTCGGCGGCCGAGGTGAAGAACCTGCAGCTGCAGAATGCCACGGAATATGCCACCCTCAACTTCCCCAGGGCCAGGCTCAAGTACGACAGCAAGAATGGCACCCTGGTCTGAGAGACTTGGTGGCCTCCTCCTCCTCCTCCTTCAGCAGCAAAAGGAGTTCTCAGACTTAGAGATGCTGCAGATCCAAGGGAGCCTCGTGGACACAGCGAGACTCTGGGGGGAAGGGTCTCCCACCACAGACATTCTCACAGCATGGGTAGTTCCCCATCTGATTCTGCTGATGAAAAAACCCCTCTTCCCCTTGGAAGGGTTGCCCCTGACTCTGGAAACCCACCTCCTGTCAGCACTGGGAGGTGGCAGAGCTGCCCCTCAGCTGGTGAAGGCTCAGAGCTGCAGGGAGGACGTCCCTGCTGTGGCACAGCTGGATCTGGGAACGTGGCACACGGAACTCAGGACTGGGACGAGGGAGGTCCCGACACAGGGCTTTGTGTCAGTGTTAAGAAAATTCTGAACGTGCAGGACTGACACGTGGCTGATGCTGTGAGGAAATGAAACCTTCAACATCATCCACTGCAATGTCTTCTTCCAACACCTGCCACGTGGCTGCAGCCATGCACTGTGGGCAGGCCCTTCTCTCAAAAAGCAGTGTTCTGTGGCCATGCACAGCTCTGGAAAACCGAGCCAGGAATGCAGAATTAAAGAGGGGTACAGGACAATTCCTTTCACTGGTGGGCTGTGCATCTGTAGCCCTCCATGCACACAAGTGAGAACTGAGCTCCTGGCTCTGACTGGGAGTGAAACAAGGAAAACTGGCAGTTCAGCTGCGAGGCAGCCCTGGATTTAGGACAGTTATCCAGTCCCTAGAGTCCAGCAGCTGTCTGCATGCCTGAGATACTGGGCAGCCTTAGAGAGGACTTTGGACTTTGCCTCCATTCTTTCTCATGTTGTACTGTCAGCCTTAGTCATAAACCCCAGTAACACAGAGCACACAGCACGAGGTGTTACCTGGTAACCCTCCCAGACACCCCTCTGTGTCTGTGTAGGGATCTAAAATAGTGTTAATGATGCAGCCCAGCAATTGTCCAAAAGGCTCCTGCCCCTGCACTGGGTTTGGCAGCACTGGCAGTGGAACAGGGCCCCAGGCACTGCCTTCAGGTCCTAAATCAGTGCTTGGCACGTTCTGTTCCTCAGCTGCAGAGCTGGATGCAGGTCGTGGGACAACCTGGTTATTGCCAGTGTTTAAAAGTGGACGCCTTGGTACCTTTTGTATACAGCATAATATTGCATATTATAACTCAGCTGAATGTAAAAAGAATGAAGGAGTTCCTGCTTGTTGCAAAAAGTTAAGCTGGTGTGGGCAGTGTTTGTTAAGGTGGAATTGTTTGAGGACCAATCTTGAACTTTTTCTACCTTTTGGCCGTGCTGTCAGCAGGGCTGTTGTAAGGGCAGAGGAATCTGTGTAGAAGGTCCTTTTTTATAATGGATATGATATATTTTTCTACCTGAAAAGGGGGTTTTTTTTGGCCTATGCTGTGCAGCTGACCTGAGTGGGGCCATTGTAAGGGCTGCCCTTAATTTACAATGGGTACAGGATGATGTTATTGGAAGGGCTGGCTTTGAGCTCCCTTTCCTGCTCCTCTTTCTGTACTCCACGCCCAGCATGAAACCCTTTGGGCTGAGGATGACTGAGTGGGCACAGGGTTTACTGACACAAGTCTGAGGGAGCTGTGGGGCACTGGGACACTCAGCTGTGCCAGCCCAGTGTCAGACAGGCTGCCAGACCTGGTCCATGCTGGGCAGCTGGGATGTCCCTCCTTGCACTGACCCCTGGTACAACCAGCAAGGCTCCAGTTCCAGCCAAGCCCTCTGCATCACAGGAACAAACTGGATCTTTTTAGAAACATCATCAAATGTGGACTATAGCTCAGGAGATGGGAGGGTCTCTAGAAGGTGCAAGGCTGCAACAAATGATTTTAAAAACCAATCCAAGTGCAAACAGCCTGTTATTGCAGTGGCATGCACAGAGAATGGCACGGAAGCTTTTCCTCCCCCAGCAGCAGAGCTGGGACTGGGGACATGAAGGGACATTAAGGTCGAGCTGCAGGGACACCAAGGTCAAGGTCCTGGGCCCAAACTGGTGTATATTTGCACATCCATCATGTCAAACCAGTTCTGACATGGACATAAGCAGGACTGGGTTTGGCTCAGAGATTTAAGTCCCATTATTCAGTTCTGTTGGTCTGTGGCTCAGCCCTTCTGTGCTAGGAATGGGTGGGAGCTCAGCCGTGTTTCAGTGAGAGCCTGGGCCCTGGGATGGTGGGTTATCTCCCACTCCCTGAGGAGTTCCAGCTCTGCAGTGCTTGGGGTCGTTTCTGGAAGTGCAGCACATCTTGGAGACAATCCCATGCTCCCACCCAGGAGTGGTGATTTTGCCTGTTTTCCAGCAGAGAAACGTGAAAGCCGCTTGTTCTGCACGACGGATTTTTTCCAAAGGACTCGGTTTGGCACTTTTTGAACATTAAAATCCCCCGACATTGTATCTCCTGTGCCTCCCGCGGGCGTCACGCGTGGGCGTTAACGTTGATGGAGCATTAAAGGCGGAATGTTTCGTTTTTAGTGATAAACCCGCGCTTTGGGGGAGGCTCCGGGGGGGCGGTGCTGGGCTTCGGGTCCCCCCCTTATCCCAGTCCCGTTCCCGGCTCCCTGTTCGCGAGTCCCCGTTGCCGGCCCCTGTCCCGGCTGCGGGCGGAGCCAGGGACATCCCGCCCCATCCCGCCCCATCCCACCCCTGTCCCCACGGCAACCGGAGACGCGCACCGGGAGCAGGTATGGCCGGGAGAGCGGGTCCGGTACCCGCCGCACCTCAGCTCAGCCCATCCCTGCTCATCGCATCCCATCTCACCCCATCCCATCCCACCCTACCTCATCCCACCCCATTCCACCTCACCCTGTTTCACCCCATCCCATCCCATCCCACCTCACCCCAACCCTGCTCGTTGCATCCCACCTCACCCATCCCACCCATCTCACCCCATCCCACCCCACAGGGTCCCTGCTGTTCCCTGTGCCCCCCCCTCCCCAGCTGGCTCTCCCTGTCTCACCCCGTCCCCAGCAGCCCCTCATCCCCCAGGACCATCCTGCTCCCGGGGAGCTCTCCCTGTTCCCCTCATCCCTGTCCCCCACCCCATAT